ACCCTAGTGAGGCCGAAAGCTTCATAGTGGTTGCAACTTTACCTCGTTGATAGTTAATTGAAATTGGTGGTGTTGTTGCGATAGCATTATTTTTTGGTGTTTCGCATGGGGGGGTGTTTCGGAAGTGGGTACGTTGACTTATTGATTGATCAAGTAGCTATTTACGCTTTCAATCGAGCCATGCTGGGGACCTTGTCAAGAACGGAGCGTGGAAGCAGGGTCAGACCTCTCTCAGGAGAGGGCTGAGCATTGGTTCGCGAGTATGGATCCGGACTGCAGCTGAGCCACCGTATCGTCTTCTGCAAACAGCACCATGCTTTCCTCTGTTGCCGTGTACTTTGGCCACTTGAAGCCGTTCCCATCCGTTGGGTCTTTCGAAGGATCCGTTGCGAAGGAAAGCCACAAATCTTGATGACAGGTTAGTGGGCCAATTCTGAGCACCGCATTTAATCGACTAACCTTGCATTGCCCCCGCGACTTGCCACTCAAACTCCGTCGAATTTCCGCGATACAAGAAGTGGGTTCCAAAGATAATGGGCAATTCAGCTAGATGGGCATATAGTTAGCTGGCTTCCGGGCGAATAGTCGATTGGAAAGAGAGCTTACCACTGTGCATTGCTCCCAGCCAAGGTACAGGGGAGATGTTGCTAAAGTTTCCAGCGTATTCGTAGTAGTAAGTTGTGAGACCGGCTAGGTCGCGGTTGCTGAGCTTGGGATTAGCAAAATGCCCATGTACAGTCTATGGAGAGCCATACGCGACTTCTTGGGATACTGGACAGTTGATAGACTTCAGGCCATTCTCATACTGGCCCGGGAGCATGCCGTTAGGGTCGTACGATCCCAGGGACGCCCCTTCGTTGGCGTTCGATCCGGTCATGTATGGCTTTGAATTATGAGTCACATAGTACTAGTTATGGCAAGGGGATATCATACCACGTCTGCGAACCTTCCTTCGAAGAGGCGCTGTGATGAGTTGGCAAAGGCTGTCATGTTATCAATCACTGGACGAAACCCTAGACCTGTGCCACTAAAGCTGAGGGTGTCCTGGATCACTTTCGCGTCGAGATTCTGCATGCATTGAAGCTCCATGTCTGCGGTCAAGTTCGAGCATCCGAAAGATCCAGCAAATTTCGTGAAGGTCGTGTGCTCAGGATCGCTAACAGTCAAAGTTGACGCGGCGCCGGAGTCTGCAATCAATCCCGAGACAATGGGGTCTTCGAACCAGGCATATCCATACATGCCTACTGACATGCCGCCGGCTGACTGGCCCCACAGAGTAATCTTGTCTGGGTCGCCGCCAAAAGCGGCGATGTTATCCCTTGCCCACTCGACGACGAGTCTTTGGTCAAGGAGTCCAGCATTCTGAGGAGCAGATTTTGCGTTCGGAAAGCCGAAAATGTTGACGCGATAGTTCATGATGACAAAGATATGGCCTTGGGTTTTCTGGATCCATTGATCTGGGATCTTGTACAGCGAGTCGGCCCCTCCACCGGTGAAGCCACCACCTGGAATGTAGATAAATACCGGGAGCCTTTCGGCTATCGGGTTTAGCGGGGCGTATATGTTGATATAAAGGCAGTCTTCGGATTGTCCGCCGTTGATGAGAAACTCCGGGACATAGTCGGTGTAAGCTGAGCTGGCGTTGCTGAGCTGCTGCATGCAGGATGGCTGGTACGAAGTTGTTGTCAAGTTTCCAAACGGTGTCTTGGGTTGAGGCGGCAGGAACCGAAGAGATCCAACCGGCGGCTCAGCGTAAGGAACGCCGAGCCACTGCCGAACGTCTGGAGTTGTTTCATTGATGAGCCCTGTTACGCTCCCAGCAGTGGTGTGGATCGTCAGGGAGCTCGGCTTTCGCTGTTGAGATTGGTTCGGGACCCCCCTGGCGCCCACGGCCAGAGAAAGGACCCCGTAGGCCAACAGAACGACACATTGCATGGTGAAGAAAATTCCCGGAAACAGGAGTTCTCGTGTCTGACAAGCGGAACCTGAGAGGGAAAAGGGCAAGAGACTGTCCCATCTCAGTGCGAAGCATTTGTGCCATTTATCAACCCAGACAAGCCCACTTATGCTGGTCCGGCCGAGGGATGGCAACAGGAGGATTACTAGGTTGTGCAATGGTACTGGGGCGATTTCCAATCCATCTGGGCAAGAAGCAACCAAACCGGCAGAATATTTAAGAGAAACCCATGTCAAGAATCATCGTTTGATTACGTTCCCCGCATTCGTAGCTACATTGGGCATACGAGATGGTCATCAACGTCGACTTTTCCCCCAGACCCCGGATTCTCCAATGCGGGGTTGCATTTTAGCTTGTTTAATGCGGGGATGATGGCAAATGCCACCTGCAAGACATCACCTGTCGCCCTCTGGATAAACTATCATCACAACTCGGCAGTATTGATGACTTTCAGTTGATCGTGCCGGCCATGACGGATGGGCCGTCTCAGAAGGCTTTGTTTAAGCGTCGATGTCGTCATCCGCCTCCAAATATTTGTTACTGAGAGTGAAACCATCCCAATGCCCAAAGCCAGAAATTCTGCCTTAAAGAGACCAAAAGCGAATGTAGTGTCATTGATGAAGTCTAAACTATGTAATGATTGAGGTGAACCGAACAGTGTGTACGAAGTAATCTTGGAGGCTTCCGCTTCTATGAGCACTCAATTAGTTCCCCAGACAAAATTGTCAGCTCGAGGCTCTACTTAGATGATATTCCTAGCAACCTGTGGAGCAACGAAATGTATCGGTTGAGATGTAAGCCCGCCAAGATCATGGCAAGTCGATTGGATCTCTTTGCTTGGACCTTGTCGAAAATGAGAGTGTCGAAGAGTTCGTTCGAAAATCGACCTTGCAGATCTTTCAGACCCCAACCAGCCTCGCTCCCAATCTCGGCAAGAATTTTACGGAACTCTTCAATCTCTGCCTTGTAGTCTTCTTTCATTAGCTTCTCCAACCAGGGTTTGCCATTGACTTGGAATTTTTCCCATTCTTTGGCCCAGTGAGGACGAACACGCAGCGGCGTTTGAGTTCGTGGGTCCTTCAAGCTCATCCACTTGTCGAGCACTTGTTGCGCGAAGCCAACCCACTTGTCAACGGGTGTCGCTTGCAAAGTAAGTATTTCGATGGCACATGTTCCCAGCTGATTGTGTCGCTGAGGAGCCATGATGATATCACTGCCTCCCATGATTCTCATTTCCAGAGGCATGCTCATAGGGCAATCCTTGATATTGGCATATGCCAGGAGGATTGCGTCCCACCAAGCACGCTGGACCGTAGCATAGTCAATTTCAACACGACCCTCTCTGGTCGATCCAGTGTGCTTCTTTGAAACCAGAGGGATCGCAACCTCCATGTCTCTGACGCGGACATTCTGTATAGCTCTTTGGAAGTGCAAGGCGTCTGGGACGTAGGTAGTGACCCTTTTGGTCGGAAGAGCGTTGGTTCCCGCCAGAGAAATGAGTGTTACGACAGACTCCCGAATGCCAGTCAGATCAATCAACTTCTTCAGGAAGTCCGCATTCTGTAGAATGTTCATCGTAATAGATTGTACGAAGGAGAGAAATATCTGCCCGTTGTCTGGGAACTCGACGACATCGCTGCTGTCCGCGGTGTCATTCCAGCAGTTGACCCATACTTTTTGAGAATATGGAAACCAGAACCATTCGGAATAGTAATCATTCGTAGCCTGGCGTTCAAACTCAAGTTGGCGCTCTCGTTTCTCCTTTGTGCTCAATGCCTTCCAAGGCAACAAAAGCACTGGTGGGATGAACCTCTCGTCCAAGTCGGGAGGAGGAGGGATGGCATGGGTCACAGGCACTGTCTTGGGATTCAACTGGGCGTAGGTCATTGGGGGCATCTCGAATGTGATGTGCGTGACAACCCCCATCAGCCCGAATGCACCACTGGCAGCACGAAGATGTTCAGGCTTAGTGACAGACCTTGCCTCGCCGTTGGCATCCACATAGTCGATGCGCCGGACAATGTCGCTCAATGTTTTGTGTCGTCGACCGGCACCGTGGCAAATTGGGGCATTGGATCCGCCCATGGTGATCTCTACCATAATAACGTTCATCGGCAGGGTGACTCGTCTGTTCTCAATGCACCACTGGCGAAGCCTCTCATTGGTGCAAGCTGCACCGATCTTGACCAGGTAGTTCCCTTCCTCGTTCGGCTTGGCGGAAATCAACTCAATATCTTCCAATTCCGTCGGCTCGTCCTGTCTGAAGGGCCAGAACGGGAGAGCAGTGGTATTGGGGAGCTTCGTAGCTTCCTTTAGGCCAAGGAGAGAAATCAGGATGTTCTTTCCAGGCCCGTCTCTGCCGAATACAGGGGACCAGGAATGACCTAAATTTTCCAGTTAGTACAAAATAACAACCCTTTTCAATAAGATTGGAACTGACGAAATCCTGCACAACGCACGCCCATGTTCTGCTCTTTTGCGAACTTAACGATCAATTGAACCTCCTTGACAGACTTGGGAACACAAGTTAGGTACGGAGTGTTCTCTACTGTCAGTCCCCAGTTCTGAAACTTTGTGTCATAGTACACCTGCCTATTGGTTAGCCAGTTGACCTCTTCCCTAGCCTCCGGCAAACCATTTACGCACCAGAATGCCTGCTCCTTCAAGCTCATCCTGATGAAGTTGGGTGAAGGCTCTCATGTCGGCAAGCAGAGATTGTAGGATTTGGGCAACAGGAAAGTCGGCCAAGTGTTCTATATGCTGCTCTTTGAGCTTTGTTATGCCTTGTGTCCCAATTTGAAAAATGCAAGCCGCTTGGTAGAGTTGCTCTAGTTCTTCTCGACATCCTAGGCTTGGGCCCATATTGTATTGCTTGCCCAGGTTCTTCGGGTCACCCGACTCCCCGCCTTCTAAGAACCTTTCGATGAGGTTTTGTTCATCGTCAGTATGCTTGTGTAAAATAGATGAGTAGGTACCGTCGGTCTCCGAGTCTTTGAAGACTCTCAATAGTCTTCGGATGAAGTGCACATGATCGACCTCAACATCCGGATTGACGTAATCAGCAAGCAGGTCTTTCAGACCAGGTACATCCTTGGCACTGAACTTGATGGACTGGTCTAAGCTGTCGACGATAAACTGAAGTCGATCGTTGACCGTACAGTCCCAAGCGGTTGGGGGCGCCATGAGGGATAGAAGGAATCCTCAAGACGGTATGAAACCGGACCTTCACAGGTCAGGAGATGAAAAGAATGAGAAATCGATCACTTTGGGTATACTGACAAAGACCTTTGTAAACCGGTCCACGGAGGCCGCAGTTTTGTATCACCTGGACTACACCTGGAGAGAAGGTAAGGCAGTGTTCGTCTCGTCAATACAGATTCCTGTTTCTCTGTGTCAGCCAATTGTGTAATTTCATGCGCGAAGTAAGAAAAAGACAAAAGATGATGCGTGTGTGAAGTCTTACCTCAGCCTGAACTAAGTTCCGTTGAGTGACCACAGGAAGGAGGTCCCTCACTTGGCATGCGTCGTAGGGTTGAACGAAATACCAGGTCTTGGGGAAACAAACGCAGCATGGGATGCGCTGCCCACGACAATTATATAACAACTTTGCGAGAGCGTTTTCTAGCGCAATTAACAGCACCGAATTGACGAACGTTCGTCAACCTGCCTAATTTATGACAACGATGTGGTATCGTAAGATCTATGTTCTAATACAGGTTGATTCCAATTGAATTGAGTCACAGGACATTAAAAGTTGGCCGCATTGGGTTGTGCTATTGGCGGCTGAGATAGTGTCTGACTGGTATGTCGCGTGCACTCCGTGAGGGTGTCGTGTTGCTGACAACTAAAAGCGTGCGTCCCCGCGCCTCGACGGCTAATCACGAGAATTAAATCTGGACATTGCGCTATTTAGTGAAAAATCTGATAGGAATCGTAGATATCATCCATGCATTGGCTAGATATCATCCGTCTATCTGACTCTCGACAGAAAGATTCGGTAATTACACATGTCGGGTCGAAGTATGACAAGCAGGCCTCTGTGTTTATGAGATTTCAGGGTTCATCAATGTCGAAAAGGCGTAATAGCCAAAACGTCGCCGGGGTAGGCTTTTGCAATGACCTGTGAAGCGTGGGGGTGTCAGAAGCGCGCATCATCCTCACTAATTACGTTTCGTTCCTGCACCACACCAGGCTATGTATTTGCCGAAGGCGCTACCGCAAGCCTCCCGCGCGTGCTTAAAAGTACACAGTCATGCTGTCACGAAGGTCAGGCCCAGAGAATTTAGTCCTGCTTGGCAAACGTTTGCATGATACCTTATGAAGCGGGCAAATTAAACCGTCCCAGTGATTCAAATATTCTGAAGAACACGTGAGATCACAAACGCGTTCTGGAGAAAATAACCGAATGCGACTACGAAGCATATCCTTTGAAATGGCATGTATAAGTAAGTACTTGTCTATTTCTAAGCCTATGTCCATCCAATGCAAAAGGGAAAACATCCCCCTCCCTCTGTCACGCTGTGCCAACTTGCGTTCATAGTTAGGCCAAATAACCCCGCAAGAAAAGGCACAGATATTACTCAAGCCAGAGAAGCACCTTCTTGGGGCTGGATTTCAATGAGATTGCCATCGGGATCAGCCACAAAAATCAGAGGCTCAGTGTTCGGAGCCAAAGCTGCCTCGATCTGCTTCTTCTCGGCGGAGCTCAGCTGGTCAAGAACTTCAGCAGGCAGACCAGTGGCACCAGACACCTTGCCCCCCATAGGGAGCGATTCTCCGTATTTTTTCATGACATTCACATCGGGGAGGTCATCCAATCGGCTTTGCATAGCCTTAATGTCTGGAACGACCATACCGATATGCGCAAATGTGTTGGGTCGCTCGATACCGGCCTCGATGTTGTTGACAGGGACGTCGACATAGATCAACTCAATCAAGCCTTCGGCGTTGTTCTTCTCGCGGTTTAGCTCCAGAGTAGTCTGATAACCGGTTCCGTTCTTTCCGCCGTGGCTATGTCCCATGTACGTGATAGAGTAATGCTCGGTAACGTGCAAGGTGAAGATCTTGCGAAGACCGAAGACGTTTGAGTAGAAGTCGACGCTGGCGGTGAGGTTTTTGACGTTGATGCAAAGGTGGTTGATGAAATAGCCAGTCGTAGCGTAGTCCGCGGGATCATCAGTCCCGAGTTCCGGATAAGGGTATTGGATCGTCCCGTTTGTCGATCGGGCTTGAAATTGAGGCAGAGCGTGGCCGATGACATGGCCGAGAAGCTGAGATCCGATGATGATGGCAGTGAAGAGGCGAACCATGGTGGTGGTTTGTGCGGCGTTCAAGTATTGGTAGCGGTTAAAGTGGTTCTGAAAATCAAATATTTTTCTGGGTTCTCAAGATGAAGAAGGCAAAGAAACCAAAGTGAAGTCAAAGGCTAGGAATTATTGCGCATTTATATCTCTTCGAAAGCGCGTGTTGAGCACTTTCCGACCCCAGTGTGTTCATCAGTGTTCATCCGGTCGCCGCCCTCGCTTCTCGCGGTCGCGTTTACCAAAGTCCCAAAAAAGGTGTTGGTTGGTTTTCACTGCCATAAGTCTGCCCGGACCCGACTCGAGCGACAACGCCATTGGGCGCAGCCTGGATAACCCCTGGCGGCACTATTCCTTCGTGGCTTAGCAGGGCTTACAGAATCTTGTCGCGGACGGTCGGATGATCGGCGGCGCTGTAAGTGAGGTACTCAGCGACGGCGCATTTGTTGATGCTCACCTGCAATGAAGTCGGTATTGCGTTTCTAATGGTCGTCATCACACGCGATTTTTTATTAGCACGAGACTCAAGGTCGGTGCCTGATAACATTGAACTATGCGATACAATTTGAGTTGTTGCAGAAAGCCTCACATTACTACCCCAGCCGAGACTCAGTCGTGCCTCATGCGCCGCAGACTATGTCTTGACCGCATATTCAGCTGCTCCACGTAAATTAAATACGTGGCAATGAAACGGGGCAATTTGACTAGTTGCAGGGTGCCTTACAAGTCATTTCAACGTTTTCTGCTGGGAAGAGATTGAGCTTTCTTGGCCAGATAGCACCTTTCGAAAACATGTTCAAATTGTGGTAAACGCACCGGCGTGACAGCGAACCTCACCCAGCCAACCTTTGCACCAGACGCCTAAAGTTTACTGTCCCTCCATCCATTGACATTCTTGCTTTCTCCCATCTTGCCTTCATATCCAACCAGGATCCTTGCCTGCTGGAGATCTTGTGCAAGACCACCTAGATGGACCACGTCGGCAGCAACCATGATGAGGCTCATACGCTCCCCAGCCGCCTTCAGCTTTTCGGAGCTGCCGAGAGGAGCAGATCCAAACGCAAAGCCGGCGTACGGTTTGTCATGCTTGTCAATCGTGTTGAAGAACAGTTGGGATATCTCCAGCCATTCGGGCTCTGTGGCACCGATGCCACCCCACTTGGCTTCAAGATTCATGCTGACCCGCGCATCAAGTGTCCCAAACCATACGATATCAATATCGGGACATTCTGTGAGAATCGCGTCGAGATTGCGAACCCCCTCAGCTGATTCAATTTGGATCATGATGGCAGCCTGGTCGTTGAGGCACTTGTGCAGGTCGCGCGAAGTGTCATACGGGGCATCAGTGAACCCAGGAACAAGACGGAAGGGAGGCAAGGACCGAGTCCCGTTCTGGTTCGTTCCAAACTTTGCAGCCGAAATGACGTGTTTTGCCTGCTCGACGTTTTCGACTTGTGGGATTACGAGACTCGCACCACAATCAAGTGCATGACCAATGGCGCCGTGATCATGACCAGGGACACTACAAAATACGGATGAGAGGCAGTACCGTCGATGTTAGGGCGTTGGACTTACCGAACGAATGGAATTGTCCGACCGCCACTCATAAAAACGGTCTCATGAACCATCTAGCAATGTCAGTTGAACTCCTTACGGTAGGTATGTAGACACTTGATTTACAGTAGTCATGGTCTCCACGTTACAAGATGTATGCTCCCAGTCAATCCAGCAAGCGTCGAATCCCATGGGCGCGACATAACGCGTAATTGGGACGGAACTGAGTCCTGCATAATAGCAGATAATGGGTGGAATCTTCTTATCGTGGGCATCTCGGATGGCTTGACGAGCTTTGTGAGGCTGGAAGAGAGACGGAGCAGCGTACGCCATCATCCCCTTTGAGGAGACAACCTTGTACTCTTCGCCGTTTTTGGACATTTTGATGAAGTTACGTCGTTGGAAATGTTTAGTAGGTATGGAGGAAATAGATTTCAGAGACCAAGTTGCAAGAGCCTGTGTTTGAAGAAAAGGGGCAGTCGAATCTCAGAATAACCCAGATCATGGTTCCATTCATATACAATTACCTTCATTAGCATCTGAAGTACCGATGATGACTGTCAGCTAGCGGCTGACTCCATATGCAAGCTTCGTGTAGACAAGTATGCACATTTCGTGTAGACATGCAACCTTCGTATAGCTTCATCTGCGCCTCTTAACCAAAGGATCTAAGGGCTAACCGTGTAACAGATATCTCGAGCAGCAATGGAGCATCCACTGCATCTCAGACTTTAGTAAGTCCGAAATACCGCAGACGTCTGATGTAGACTTCATGGCGTTGAACGGTGCCGAGGTCCTCAATGCTAATTGACATTTCGTGAGAACTAGTAAGCCGAGGCCAAAACACCAAATTTGGTTAGTTCAAACCCATTCAGCATGTATTCGGCGTACCTTTTATAGAAAATCCTTCAAGCATAGGTAGTCGCTTGGACAGCTTTGCGACGTCCCGGTCGCCGATGTGTGCGCGCGGCTAACACGGACTCCGTTAAGACGTAAGTCGTCCATCGTCAGTGCCTAGATACGGTTGTTTCAATCGCTGGAAGGAAAGATAGCTCCGGCCGATCGGCCATATCTTGAATTACTGAACATTGAGGTGAGCTTCCGAGGACGCTGTCTCATACCTGACCACACGCGATACATTCGATGAGAAAACTAAACACTTTTAAAAGACTTACTACCACCGATTGATGTCTTGAATTTGACATGATTGAATGCTCCCGACGACCATTCACAAGGTTGTTTTACCTGTGCCTGAATGAGTGAATCCCGCTTCGATACCAAAGCGGGACATTTGTCAAAATATGTGCATCTCAATCGCAGTATTGGCATGCGCCTATTTGATTCGGATGGACCAATACCAGCGCGTGCGCGACGGCAAAGCCACATGGGTCTCAAAAGCGGTCGCCATTCACCGAGTGCCACCTTTTGTCAGCTCCGTGGACCGTGGCTGAGACGGGAATCGGTCCTGGCTCCAAGAGTCCTTGTGCTGTTCCAGTGCCTATCTTCTGTGATCTTTGGTCCCGTCGGAGACGATGCCCGTTCTGGGCAGCTCATCGGACTCGTTGGTGATGGGCGAAGTTCCAACTCACGACTCTTACCAAAGCGGGGGCCTTGGCCGGGGTGCTAGTAGAGGGGGGTTACATCACAGCCTCTCTCGAACCTTGCATTTCCTCTTCGCGGAACGACCATTGCTTTTTCCTGGTGCTAGTTCTGTTGGACCTCCTGAGTTCCGGCGTTATGTCCTGCCGAACCACCAACATGCTGTAGGGGTTGGGCCTTGTCCGCAGTGTTGGCGCCAACATCATGGGGCACAATGACAGGGGCTAATAGTGGCATCTGTTGGTTCGCTGACTGACTGCTTCTGCATACTCTTGTCACCCTAAGCGGCCCTTGTTAAGGATGGATGTACACGACATACTGGTTGAGTTCTGATGCTTCTGTAAGCCATTAGTTTCATCAAATTAATCGTCACTCGCTCACATACAACGTCCGTCGAAGCCGAATGAATCGCCAGGCCGTACGGCGAATAAGACTGGGCTGTTTGCCTGCTTCCACTTGTGGATGAGGCTGCATGACGATTGTGGAGTTGTTGGAATTGAGGTTGTTCACGCCTGTCGGTCTTATCACCCGTTGGTGATCTTCGAATTTCAGTCAGTGCCGCTTGAATCCTCTGGGGTTGGACCGACACCACCGCATATCCCCTTTATCGAAGATCGGATGTCCAAGACAAACACGCCAACCCATGTTTGGCGACCATCGTTTTACAAGCCGGTTGACCGTTTCTCCCCGATCACAAAAAAAAAAAAAGAAAAAGAAAAACAAAATAGTCGCAAATGCAGCGAAGCTCTCTTGGTGTTCTTCGTTGACATTGAATCGCGATCGATCGGCACAGACCTGCACCATCCCATTATGTTGGTGGAACAGAAGATGGCAATCTCGCTTTATTTGTTTGCGGTTCTCGGTCAGGGTACCAACAAGATCAAGCCAGCCTGCCATCGGGGCACATACCGATAACTGAGGGCGGTTGGAAGGCATTTGCAACTCATGCAGGGGCAAGATGTGATTGAGCTTACGGCAACCGGGCTGCTGGGCCGCCTCCGATGGAGAGCCCCATGACATCTTGGCATACAAGTTGTGTCAAATACAGCTTCCTCGTCCCCTTCCAACGCGACCACAAAGAGTTGAAGTTTTCTAATCTCAGACATACATAGCCGTTCTTGAAGAAACCTGTAATTCATTGAGACAGCTTCAGTTCTACACGCCCTCTTTCCAAGTCAGCAATCTCCGTAACAGTCTTCGAAAGCTGCATACATGGATCATTTCACCCTACGATACGGCCCGGCGATCGAGCCAAGGCCACCGAGCCCGCCTGAGGGATCACTGGGATGGGATATCCAGCCTGACACTCAGACACCAGCCTTCGATCTAGCTTCCTCAATGGCTGGGTTGACGGTGGAACCTGACTTGAGCCTGAATGAGAACATGAAAGCATTGTTCCTGGCCAGAGTCATGGAGAAGGCCCGGAAGCTCATCTTGCGGCGCGTGAAAGAAAAGAAGGTTGCCGACGACGCTGAACTTGACGACTTCAAACTCGACGTTGAACATTGCCAGCGATGTTATCACTCAATTTTCCACAACCTGCCAGCTTCCTTCGATGCTCGGAACAACGACAATACCCTTGCAGTCTTGGACCGGCAGAAACTGCACGCTGCAATTCAGGAGGCGCTCAAAGACGTCAGCGAGCAAGTATTCCTTCTTGTAAAAATGCCAAGGCGTACACCTTATTCGGAATTGAACCTCGCACACAGGTACTCGGCCCAGATCGTCACGCCTGCGGTGTGTTTGGAGGTCATGGACCGCGAATACCAACGCCGCATGTATAGCGACGTCGAGCAGGTGAACTTTGACGAGCTTCGCGCCTTTTGGCTGCAGGTTGCGCAGAATCCACAGGATGTGATGAGGATCAGGTAGGTGGTGCGTCGTGCGAAGTTGGTGTGCAAGAAGTGGGATGACGGGATCTATTCAGACCTTTCCTCGGTGCTTTGGCGTGCTTTGTGGTTTGCAAAGAGGGGCCAGGTTCAAATGGTGTAGCTGGGTTGTAAAAATCTTCGGCGCCTTTCATTTTCCTGAGAAAAACACTCATCAAGAGCAGGCACGAGATGGAGAGGACATGGACGGATTGCAGGCTCATCCCAGCTACGGTCATCACGCCCATGACCAGAGAACAGTCCCATGAAATCAGGCGGCGGCGCGGTCTTTTTCGTTTGGCTAGATTGACGAAGTCGGTCGGGTGATTGGTGCCTGGGAGCCTGTCGCGTTTTTTGGGCGGTCAATTCGCCTTCTTTGATGGCTTTGGAAGTTTGAAGGTTGTAGGTCTTTCGGTCACGGGAATACAATTGGCGACGTTGTGTCAAAAAGATCTTCATCGCGATCAACAATGCAGAATTGAAGCAAAAATGAATCCCTCCATGCAAAGAACGGGGGCAGGATCTTGAATAGAATGTTTTCTCATTAGGCACACAGAAGACCTATTTGCATAATGGCATATCCAGAAGCAAGTCCTTCACCGGGCTAGTCAGATGTCCGTAGCAGCCGTGCCGATATAGAGATCTCTATACTGCGCCAGTTTCCCCCCAAGGTTTGTCAAAGCGAGCTTGACATGCTCGTTCTGTTCCCGCAATATCTCGATGATGGAACCTAGACGGAGGCGTGCCTCTTTGCGGGCTTTCCCTTCCTCTAACCTAGTCCTGAGGCCAGCAACCTTTTCTCGCAGAGGGGAGAGATTTTGCGTCTCCGACTCGCAGCCAGGAAGTTGGCTGAGTTCGAGACGGAGCTCTAGCTGCCGTTCATGATTGTTGAGGTCTTGCTCCAACCTCTCCAACTCCGCATTGGCCTTGATCGCAGGATCGCCTACCATATCGTCGGGCTCGTGCATGAGTGCTGAAAAAACAGTCTCCATCTCTTCGAGTTGCTTCATTTGGGCTATGCTGGCAGACAGGGTGGCGATTCTGCCTTCGAAATGTGTCGACCATGTCTTGCGCAGTTCGTGGAACGTGGCAATGTCATCCCCGGCTATTGGCTGGGTAGTCGGCACGTCGTCAAAAACGGGGAGATTCAGAAACTCGGCAAACGCGCCCTTTTCGGCAGGCTGCTCATCAGCAAAGAGCAAGAAAGCCTTGCGCCACGGGTCGGCCGCGAGGGTACCGGGCGGTGTCTGTCCCGCGAGTAAATAAATGGCGTTGGCAGCGACGAATACGCTGCTGTTACGCTCGTCGTCTTGTTCGGCGCAAGGAACTTCTGCAATCTGCCAAGAGCTTGAAGAGCGGCCAAGATAGTTGCGAGCAAAACGGGAAAAGATCTCGCCAGCTTTCGTCCGGTTATCTAGGGAGGGCATGGAATCTAGAAGGTCCACACGGTGTGTCTCGGGATGTACCTTGACAAGCACCCAGTGGCCACGAAGATGCATTGGTAGGAGCAGGATGTCAGGGTGCTTTTCAGACAGCATGGTCTTGAGCTCGCGAACGGTAGGCGTGTTCGACGCGGCCAGGATCAGAGGGTGGATGACCACAGTGAGACCGTCTCGCCTGGTGGAACACGTCGCAAGCGCAGAGATGAGGCGATACATTATGTCCTCGTCCTGCCGCTTATCGGGTGCCAGGTCATCGGCAAGCCAGTTGGAACTTTTCGTGGGCTCGTTCTCTACCTCTGCCGTTGCACCGCTCGCTTTGGATGGGGTTGGGCGGCCATTTTGGCCTGTATCTGGCGTGCCTTCCAGATCGACGTTCGTGGACGAGACTGAAGAAAGAGGGGAGGAGTTTGCGACAGGGCTCGCTTCCTTGTTGAGGGATCGGCGGGAGGATCTCGTGGGCTTTCCAGCAGAGGGATCGGATCGTTTCGCAGGAGGAAGCTCGAGGTCGGCGGTCCCAGACGACCGCTTCCGGGTCGATGACAGCGACGGTTGGTTGCTGGATTTGCTGGCCGACGTGGAGAGTTCAGTCGTGGTTGTCTGAGACGTGTGCTCAAAAATCCGGACTGCCTTTGCATCGCGACGAGACGAGGCGGATCCATATACCCGTAATACTCCCCTGGTGGTAGCTGTCTTCCGCGGGGGTGCGGGTGTTGTCGCGGTTGGGTTGGCTTCGTTGGCCTGTTCGAGGTTTGAATCGGCATCGCTGGAGCTGGAGCTGGAGCTGGGGCTAGCTGGCGGCTGCATAAAAAAAACCAATCGTTAGCATGATGCCGGTCGGGAGGGGGATGTAATTGACGAGGGTCGCTCGCCGTTTCGAGGAACATACCATCACAGCCGAAGAACGAGATGATCTGGTCCCTACTGTGCCATTGGATGTGCGACGCGATGCATCTATCTGGGCAATTGCAGCTTTGACATCGTCCGCGACCCAAGGAGGTGGGGATGACAACGGCCCGAGGCCAGCTTTTTCCAGGCGGCTAGTTATCGCCTCGTCCAGCGAATGCTTTGCCGTGTTCCATGGCACTCGTGCGCGAAGATCGCGTAGCGCGGAGAGGAATTTGGCAGTGAGGGTCTCGGTGCCGAAGAAGGCGAGGAAGTTGGCGAGGGAAACCTCCCACTTCTTGCACAGCGATTCGACCTCCCTGCGGTTCCGCTCCGAGGGGATGTGATTGAGGGACGGCTTGGTGGCAGTATCGCCATGCTGCGCAGTGCCTAGAGACTGGCGAGTAGACGGCATGGTACCGTTGGCGGGCTTTGCGTGACCATGATGGTGTCGAGACAAGATTCGGTCCCGGTCGCGATGTGCGAAGACGAGACCCAGGCAGGCAGGCAGACCTTCGGTGGGCGTGTTTGCCGTACAGGTACGGATAGGTAGGTTGCTCCCCGCAACCAGGATGTTTGCGAGCTTTGCAGCAGCCGTTCCAGCTTGCGGAAAGGTCCCTGGCAAACCCGACCTCCACCGGCCAGAAGGGGCAGGGGTCATCGTTGTTCCCCCCGACCAACAGCGACCAGAAGGGGCGGGGCTGTTTTAATTGGTTGATGTCGCTGCAGTAGCGTCCCTTTTGATTGACATGGATATCGTTTGATGATCGACCACCGAGGGAGTTTCCCAACGTCCTTTTTTCAATTATATCGAATAGGTGCCTCGGAGCTCTACTGCAAACAGAAAAGCCAGCGAACCGAATCTACCACCCACGCCGTAACCCTATGACCGCTGGACTCCTAGCAACCTCCCTTCTCCGTCCGGTCCACGCTCGTCCCTTTTGACAGCCGCGGAGAATGCCATGGCGTACTGCTCGCACGTCATGCGTCCTGGAACGTCGCAGTAATCGGTGAAATCATGGGCGCCGTACCACCGAGTAATCTCGTTGATGAACAGCGGTCCTCCGTGGTGCCTTGCAGCGACGTCGAGACGGCATCCGATATCCGACGAGCCAAGCTGGGGACTGTTGAGCTCTCGGAGGGATTCAAACACGCCAAGCGCATATTCCATGACTTGTTTTCCCGTGAATCCTCTCCGCTTGAAAGATGCCTCTGGCGGCCTGCTGGCACCGATCAGGCTGTCAGGAAAGGTTTTCGTGAGGCAGATTTTGTGCACCTCGCCTTTGAGGCCGCGAACGCCCTCAGGGTCAGGTTTCGTGACGATGAAGACGCGAAACTCCTCAAGCGAAAGAAAGTCGACGAATTCTTGGTGGAACCATGACTCCTTGGACGCTTCATCGACAGGCCCAGGACCACGCACAGGATCGAAGCAAGTCAAGCGCGGACGTACGTTCGTTCCTGCATGCAATGAGCAGCCACTCCACGAGCGCTTGTTGAAGGTTCGAACCCCTGATAGGGCACATGTACCGTTTCCGAAGCAAGTCACAGGGCGCCAGTCTCGTCTTTTCGCAGCGACCGCGTCGAGAATCCGAATGTCTGGAAGTTTGTACCCGTCTGCCTGAGCTTCTTCGCGGGTCGGATATACCGTCAAAACCCCGGCATCTGGATTCCTGCTGATGTAGCCTTCGACGTCGTTGTAGCGGCCCAGGATGATGTCTCGAAATGGGAAGCCCGTGTCCAACAGGATCACCACAAGACGACAGCGATGACTGAGTTTGAGATGTCGGTGAAGATCATTTGCGCGGAGATGTTCCTCGACACAATCCCAGGTCATAATGGTAGATCTCTGCGAGCCGCAGTGATGAACTCCTGCCGAGGCGACAAGAAAGGTCTGGGCAACGCTCATTTTGCCATTCGCGACGCGAACAAGACTAGGAAAAAGGTCGCAGAGATAGCTCGCCTCCTCATGTGAGGCCGGCAGCCATGGCGCGGCATCGGGCTGCGTGTCATCCAAGTCGAACGTGACGGTCGCATACGGACTGAAGTTGGGGTTGAAAACCGCACTGTCGCCCTCGTATGAACCGTCTGCCATTGGGCACTAGAGAATGAACGATTGTTCAACGGGGTATGGCGTCTGTCTTGGCGATTCCATCGATGCGTGCGTATGACGGGCTGGGATAACTGGGGATGTGGACGGAGCCGAGGGCTTGGAAGTGGGCGAGGTGGTATGCTTTGATATCTTATCAAGCACTTCGACACATGGCTCTGCCTCTTGGAATGTCGAGGCAGTCTCTGAGTCATCATTACGGGAGGCTGAGTTCATGCGCGGGCGATTTTCCTCGTCTTGAACCACCAAGGAGGGTTGAATGCGACATGGGCCGATTTCGCCGCGCATTTTCGGGTCTGGCGCTTGGCAGGCGATGGAAAGTTGGTCAATGAGCCGATCGAATGCCTCGAGAATCTGTACGCGTCTGACTTGGGATGCCCTGTCAGCAGGTTTCAAGGCTTGTGGTTGCAAGACTTACTTGGACGCAGGGGTTGGAACGACGAAGGGAGGACAGGTCCGACGAGTCGCTCGGCTCAAAGCTAAAGCTGGCAGGTTTGCCAAGTTTCAACAACCAGAATATCTTCGCGGAATCGATGGGGAGAATGTTTCGTTGGGTCGAGTTGCTGCAAGGTTCTTGGCGAGGGTTGGGTGTCGGAGGAGACTCGGGGCGAGAATGGGAAGAGGCGAGACCTATTCGTAGGCGGTCTGAGAAGAACGCAATACAAGGGAACAAACGGCCGAGAGACAAATTCAGAGACTAGGGTGAAGGAATTTGTGAGAGATCCGTGGGAGGTTCGAGAATCAGGAATCGCTCTTTGGGGGGTAGGTCGTTTGGTTCCAGGCACTTTGCTCGGGCTGAGGTGTAGTAGTCTAGACCAAACAAGTCTTGTGCAGCGTTGATCCACGTCACGTTGATAGTTGTCTTCATTTCCATGAATCTTCACATAGAATTCTGCATGATCTTTGAATATTCTTTGGTCTCTCGAGAGAGAGACACACTGGCCTTGGACAGCCATTCTCCGGGAGAACACGGTCAACAGCCCCCCTCCACCCCTTCGGATCTGGAACCAATCCACTACGCCGACATTCCACTGCCGACATCCAGATAGCTCCTCAAGGCTTGAGATCTTGCGAGTGGCTTCTAGTGTTTCCAGTATTAGGATTGAAAGAAGATACTTTGAAACTTTTGTTGGAGTCTCTTGTCTCTAACGGAAGGATTGTTTTCAACCGAGACCGCCCACGTTTCCTGCGTTTGCGCGGCTGCACATCCTGTGTACTCGATGGATTTCGGTTTATATTTCAACTGGTCCATGTCCGCTTTTGAAAGACCCAGGGTAACTCGCTCTAGGCCTGGCAATGGACGAAGTTGAGGTCGTCGAGGTGTGCCATAGCTCAGCGTTGCGGCCAGGGACCCACACTTCCGCGCAGCTGCCTTCACCACGACGTTGCCTTCTTCGCCCACAAGCTACCACCGAAAGCCAGTCTCAACCGGCACCCGTACTCATCGGCTCCCAGGCAGAAAATCGTTTATCTCCATTGCATTTTGTCCACCGCAGAGCTCTCGGTCGTCGTCTGCCTGGTTCGAGGGAAGCCTGCACCCAGCATCGCGAGGTGCTCTTGACCAGAACTCCCAGCTCACCGTTCACCAAAGGCAACGCGCAGTACCCTTGACAATCGAGAGATGGCTAAACGAAAGACGAAGACAGGTAAGCCCTCCCCAAGAGACCTCTTCGCACCCGTTCCCTCCGTTGCTGTCTCAAGATCTGACCGCCTACCCCCAGCGGCTCGCTCGTCCAAGCTCGGCGTCATCCTCTCCTACAAATCGACAACCAAACCCTCCAGCTACGTCGACACCTTCGACCTCCGTGTCCTCCCCGCCAATCCGCCGTGCCCCGCCTTCTGGATCAGCGAGTCCAAAGCCCAGCTCATCGACCCCGAGGCCGTCTGCTACTTTTAGGAAAAGTGCGCCGGCGGCCGCCAGCGTCACATGGCTCATCCCGACCGCTGGGTGCCTCTGAAAATACTTGCCGCGCGGAAGGGCACCGACAAGAGAGGCACATTTGTTGTACAGTACGAGACGCGGTTTGTGGGACGCACCGAGGCAGCCTGGGTTGCCGCCACCAAGGTGGGCAGAGTGTTGATTGCCGAGTTTTGGGAGTCGTACAAGGCGCACAGTGGCCGCTCTCAGGAAGATTGGCTAGAAGGCCGCAAGCTATCGAAAAGTGCGGTTGATTCTCCTTGGCTTGAGAAGAACTGCAAGTCGCTGGAAGACAAGGGATCAGCCAGACCGAACCGCAAGAAGCGGACTGGCGGGAAGCACGAAGAGAACGAGGATGATCTTCAAGAGTGGTTCCCTGCCCTGACGCACCACTGAGAGTGCTATTTACGAGCGTCTGGGAGCGTACGACAATGTGTAGTCCAGTCGCTGCGCCATTCGACATATTGACCACGAGACTCGACTCAGGATGGCAGCAAGCGTGCGACCCAGGCATCTCTTAGGGGGGATGGAAGATTCGTCATTGGTCTGTTCCGAGTTTGTGTAATCTTGGGGAGATTCTGAAATGGCAGCGTTAGGAAATACGAGTATTGACGCGAATAGCACGAGGTCTAGTCGTGGTTATATTCTGATGCTACCATTGATCATAACGACGCATAAGCGGATAAGAATGTACTGCATGCCGACCCCATTTCTACGTGATATTTGCAGGCCACCCCAGGATACCACAATGCAGACCAAATACCAGAGGCGTAAGATATCATCAATGACCCCCGGGCTGTGTGAGCTGTGTGGGCTGTGGAGTGTTTGGAAAAGCTAGGCTATTGGGATCAAACTCCCCGATTCCAGACTTCCAGTATTCGACAGTGGAAACCATGGCAAGCGAAGCCTCTGGATCATGCGGTCCAATGCTCACATCAGAGACCTTGCTAACCGCCTCGCGGAAGATTTCCTCCCGAAAGATGTTTGAGTCGAATCTTTCCTTTGGATATCTGTTTTCGAGTCCTTTGTGGCAAATCTTTCTGATTGCGTGTGCGACCTACACTCCGCAACTAGCAGCATTAGGACTCTGAGGGACATCCTGATCGTTGTGAATGAGGTTAGCCTGCTGCCTTGCACAACTACTAACATAGACTGGAAAAGCTTTTGGCTCGCCCATTGGCCGAGTCTTAACGTTTCTATGAATAGACTTTCCAAAGCCAGGTGGGCATCGATACTGAATGTATTGCCGCGTTCTGAACCCGTATTCGTATTTCTGAAAGGATCGAGGTGTTTGATCGAGGGTAACTTTCCGAACCCTGTGAAACCATCGTGCACGATCATAAGCGACCAATGACCGTTGTTCGAGACGTCAAAATTGATCGGCACCAGAAGGATTTGTCCGCTGCCTTTCGAGTATCCTTCAGGAAGCCTCGAGGGGTAACGTCCCACGGAGGTATCAGATTTGGGGCCAAACCATCCCGCGTCTGCGATGATATACTTTGGTCGGGCTTCGTTGGCTGAGTCTCGTCTGACGGCCCAAGAATTCAAGTTCATGGTCGCCTCGGTCAGTGACTCGTCACTTTGGAGCTCTTGGCATATGCGCCTTGCAAGAACGGCGTTCAAGTTTGCTTGCCGCTCAATTTCCGCGGCAACTAGCTCAATGTCCTCAGGCGAAGTGTTGCTTGCGAGCTTCTCCGACTGAGCGTCTTGTTGAACCATCGTGGTCGACTTCCTGTGCAAGCTGAAAGATGTAGAGTGACTTTGAACAAATGCAAGGCTCTCCGGAAGTGCGTATTGTCTGTGAGCCCGATTGGAAGTTTACCAAAAAGTTGGCTGTGAATAAAGTCGTGAAGATGGAAAGGTAGTGGTAGGCTGTGCTGGATTGACGAGTGATGTTGGATGGTGGAGGATTGCAAGTATTTCGTGGAACCGCTTCAAAAACAAGAGCATCTCACCAGGGCAGGGTACCTACCTACCTACCTCGCCCACCACCAAGAGTTAACCGGGGAAGGCGTCAATCCATATTTCAGTGCGCTCAAGGAAGCTCCGTGCAGAGTCACGTAGAGACACAAAAGGGCGGGGCACATTGGTCCTGCTCTTGGTGGCTGTTTGCCGTGCTGAGTGATGGCTGAGGCACGCCCGCCAGTAGCATCGGGAAGGGGGCAACGAGCACTTCGTGCCTTAATTATGGAAAGTGCACACAGTGGCGGATGGGGATGGGGACTGCTCAGGTCGGAAGGTACGGCTCCTGATTTTCATGTGTTAAAGCAACTACTTTTCCTGTGTGCTCGCTTCTATCATTGCTGCTATTGTTGTTGCTGTCGTTGCTACTACCGTCGTCCGTCGTCGTCATCTGTCACTGTCGTCATCTGTCGCTGTCGTCGTCCATTGCCGTCGTCTGTTGTCGTCGTTTATTGCCGTCGTCCTCATCAAAGCCACCTGGTAAACGAAGTCGCCCAGACACAGGAAATTAGCCGGTCTCGGAAGGCGCCACAAGCCTCGCATGTTCCTCAACTCATCCAGCGTACCTTCATTGCATATCGGGCCCACCTCATCATGAATGCCTCCTTAACACGTTCTGCGGACTGGGGCGAGCACATCCACGGCATGCACTTTCCAACCTCCACAAGGCACGCCTGGGACAGTACGGGGGTCAAGGCAGCAAGGGCTACATGGTCCGGTCATGCCATGAGATCAGGCTTGGATGCATTGCCAGAGAAGCTGCGCCAGCTGCGCCTCCTTGGTTTCCTTTTTTGCAAAGCAATAGTCCGGGAGGCTCCCGCCCAGCCAGGAATTCTTTCACTCGAGTGAAAGAAACGGAGCAAAATAATTCGGCATCTCACGCAGAAGATTCTCGAAATGACTGCCGTCAAAATCTTGGTGGACAGAGTAACGGAAAGGAGCTCGCTCCAATTTGGACGAACTGAGGACTCAGATGGCCAGGTTGAAGCAGACACTTTACGATCAAGTGCACATTTGAGAGATGGGGAAATTGAAGGGTATGATTGCATCTTTCCGCGTTTATTATCTCGCGAGCAAGTAATTACGGTGCTTCAAAGCTACTTGTTGGTTCCTGCGAAACCCATGGCCGGTGCAGATGGTCTCCGCGCGATTGGCGTTCCTTTTCAGGTTGGTTACTACTGCATCGACAACCAAAACGACGCGAATCAAAGAGAATCCTGACCTGTTCGTGTTTTCGTTGTCTTTCCTTCGACCTTCGACGAGGTTGAACGACGGCAGCAGCGTTGTCGAAAGCCTTCGAGTCAGTCCGAACGGAAAAGGGTTGACAGGGGATCCTTAACAGAGTCCTCAATTGAAACAGCTCCCTCAAAGACGCCAGCAACGTTACAGAAGGCAACTGAAGGAGACGGAGCGATACAAAAAGATATCTCCCAATCGACAGAGAGGAGTCCCGGCACACTATCATTGATACCGCCGCAAAGATCTGACATCGAGATCGGGTATCAGAAGCATGCCATATCACCCGAAGACCAAACGCCAGAATAGCACCATACGTAAACAAACCCGAGGAGATACCACATCTCCAATGTTGATGTGTGGTACCACCCGCTACCTTTTTCCCCTCTTGCCCTCGGCCTTGCATTCCTTGATAGCATCGCTGGGGAGGCAGTTTTCCGGCGTCCACTCAGCCTTGTCGTACCCCACGAATTCCACCAAATATGCAACGCCTCCCTGTTCCCTACCTCGGACCTTGTTCATCTTCCTCTCGCCGAGGATCCTGCTGACGATAAACGGCCCTGTGACGGGGTCCAACCCCAGCACGCGGTTTCTCCTGTTCCACCCGCTCGGGCTCCAAAACTTGGAGACCACCTTCCGGCAGCTGTGCCACAGCTCTTCCTCGGGTTCCCATGTGGGTTCGTCATGTAGCCATTTGCCTCCCCATTGAACCAGCAGTTTGACGTCGTCGCCCTCGCGTCGGAAGTCCAGGATCTTGTGGACCGGGTATTGCTTGTTGTCCGAGTTTGGGCCGGACACTGAGGGCTCCCCAGCGTCTTTGACCGCGGGCTCGGAAGCGTCGTCAGATTTTACGGCTTTCCTCTTCCGGGGGGTCGTGGCCTTGGGACCCGACTGCGTCGCCGCTCTCTTCCGCTTGCCTCGTCCTCCCCTGCTATTCCCATCGTCAGTCACCTCGGCGGCAGGATCTTCGGGTTCGCCATGCTCTGTTGATGGGTGGACGTCGATCGACGGTTGCTCAGCCGCTGCTGGCTCCTCCGGGCTGGGGAGGTCCGTTGGCTCGGGGCCGGGCGCATCATCAGCGGTTTCGAGGGATTCGAGAGGGTTGGCAGACAGGTCAGGAGACGCCGGTCGCGAGCCATCTGAGAGCGGGCTGTCTAGATTCGATAGGGGGCTTGAAAGCCTCGAAGAAGCGTCGGTCCAGTTCGAAGGGATTCCATTGGAGGCATCTAGCTTGTGCGGCGCACTGCGATGACGGCATGTCAGCATACGAGTTCCCAGAGGCCGCGGAATCCAATTACCTCGACTCAGCATCGGCTCTGTTGTCGCCGATGGAACCACTCTTGTTGCGAGCCATCTTGCTGGCCGATGGGCGGGGACTCATTCCTGCGAATAATCTGGACAGCATCTTGAAAGGATGTCGTTGGAGGAATGCGATGCGATGCGATGCGATGCGCCGCGACGCGGCGCGCTGGAACGGAGGGGCCTGATTACGTAGCTGTAGTGCACCAAGGAAGTCCTCAGCGTCGCAACAGCTCTGAGATTGCTGCTGGGTCCACTGGCGCTGCGCGCCATCAAGGGACAAGAAGCACAAAATGGTCCTCATAACGACTTATGCATGGCACGTGCGACTTAATGCACATAACTCACGCGCGCAAGGTGCTGCACAATTACATAAGGCAAGGCACAAATCGCGCTGCAGCGACTGGTCCGCGCTGGATTAACAGAAGAACCTCGACGCATCGACCCCAGCAAGCACAACAGCACTTGACGGGTCCTGGGCAACTCGATATATGGCGAACATTGTGCATAATGCACGCTCCAGGACTAGATGCACCCAGGAACCAGGTATGTCTGATGTTGGCTGCTGGCAGCCAGGGTAGTCATCTAAGTATTGCCCCTCCTCACGAATCCTGCATCCGATGATGTTGCAGATACCTTCATCCAACGGCAAGGCCCATCGAAGATTCCTGCCACGACCTCGTCATCGTTCTAAATGCACTTGTGTAGATTAAATCATCGATTCCTTCATCCTTCATCTCAAACATCACGTCGTTGTTGTCCTTGTACTGAACAATTATCCACAAGTCAATGAAATCCGAGAAACGTTCGCACAGGTTGACCGAAGTCTTGTTTGTCTTTTCGTGTACGTAGTCGAAATCTATTTGCGTCTTATCATTCGTTCGGGTGGCAACTTGGTTGGCTCCACGAAGCGTGGCCAACACAAGCTTTTTTTGGAGAGCCGGAGGCGCAAATGGTACAAATGTTGCATGAACGTCAATTCGCTAAGAGGATCTAATGAGCATTTATGAAGAGTCATTCAAAACAGAAGCATAGGAGCAGGAATGGGCAAGCGCTTCCGCCTAGGCTCGAGATTCCCCGGACGGATAAAGAACAGCCTCATCGACTTCGTACCGCTGGTGGTCTGTTTTGGGTGCTCGGGAAACCTCATTAAGCTACGGGCTGTGTGGCTGAAGATGCTGCTTCTCTCCCCCCTTTTCCCTTACCTTGCGCTTGACGCAAAAGTGACGAATGATATACCCATGTATTAGACTGCAGTGAACAAACGGAGTAAACACGATGTCATTGACTTCAACAGGCCAGCGGCGACAAGGAGAGTACCAATCTTATTCATTTTAGAAGAAACCAAGATCAGAAATCCCCAGTGAACAGCCGAAACATTCGCTAATAAGTGCGCGCAGAAAGGCGAATACTTGATATGCCGGTGTCCAAAATCCTTGTAATCTAGTAATCTTGGCTCCATAGGTAGGCAAGCCAATACTGTTTTCAAAACAACGAAAAAGAAAACGTCGTTGTTTGTTCCACAACTGACCTCAGACTCAGCTAAATACTGCATTCCTTCTTGGCGAGGCCTGTGGCACTTCTGGGCGTTGTCGAATCTGGCCACGAAGCTCGCTGCGGTAGTATTCTTGACGTGTGCCAAGCGGTATCACGAAGAAGCGCAGCCTAATCAGAAGATCTTTGATAATGTTGAGGTTAAGCTGTTGCGGAATTAAACATGACACGGCCAGAGATTACCATGTTCTTGCGACGCCGGACACAAACTAGCTGATTTAGCTTCCCAGCGCGAGATCTAGCTAAGGAACCGCCAACGCCACGATAGTACCGGCTTGTCTTCGCCTCAGTAACTCAGACCATGTTGCACAGATGAGGCCATGGTTCAGCTGAAGGACGCTTGGCTCCGGTGGTACGGGTCCCAGTGAAAAGAGTGCTCTTTTTAGGTTGACATACACTTTGGATCTTGTTAAAACATGCTTATTTTGATCTTAAAGTACGGTAACATTTATCTGGTTAAGGTTCTAGTACAAGCGACCATCGCAGGGTCCACGTCTTGGCAGCAGTTGAGGTGCGAACAAACACCACAACCACGGACTCTCCCGTCATTCGCGAAGTCTGGCCATTGTTCTTCAGGTCTTGGATGTTGTCGCGATGATCATGGAACATACTTTTGATCATCATAATAAAAGAATACGCTTGATACTGGAGAGAATTTGTATAAGAACCTTCTAAATGTCCCAGTGTTGTCAAGTCTATCTCTCCTCATCACACTCACTCAACTCCAGCCTTCATCACAATACATTCCCTGAAACTCACCCACATTCAATCTTTTCCCAATCTCAACTCCAAAACACCAACTTTATTCAAGATGCATATGCCCACCTTCGGTCAGGTTGCCACTATTGGCATGGCGCTTTTCGCCGCTGCAGCTATCGCTGCCCCTGTTGCTCAGCGGCTTGAGGCTGACGTTGTCGAGGTGAGTTCCAAAACTAATGGCAACGAGAAATTTACTGACCTCCTGCAGCGCTCTGCCGAGATTGTCGTGAGTGTTGCCACCTGAAAGTTTCTGAAATCCCCTCTTTCATATGTCTTCGTTGCGCTTTGGGGGAAAAAATAGACTGACTTATCATTTCATTAGGCTCGCGGTGATGGTATCTCCGTAAGTACCGATGTGAAATACTATTCCAAGCAGTGGACCACAATCGCTAATGGCTTTCGACTAGGCCTTCGCTGGCGTTGAGCTCGCTGCCCGCGGCGACCTTGAGCAGCGCAACAAGAAGAAGTGCAAGCGTACCAACAACAAGGGATACTGCACCGACTCCGACGACGATAAGAAGGATAAGAAGAAGAAGCAGTGCAAGCGCAACAAGAAGGGCGACTGCTCTGATTCGGAGGACGACAAGAAGGGCAAGAAGCAGAAGCAGTGCAAGCGTAACAAGAAGGGCGACTGCTATGACTCCGACAATGACAAGAAGGACGACAAGAAGGACGACAAGAAGGATGACAAGAAGGACGACAAGAAGGGCCACTACTGATTGGCATTGGAACCGTCATCTGTGGAGGCCGTACTCATTGTTTGGTCTTTGCATCTGACGATGCATCGTTGGGCTCCGATTTGATTCGGCATTGCCTTAGGCTTACACCACTTCATTTCTGATTTGTATATTTGAACATCACATATTTATATTTCGTCGTCAATCTCATGTTATTGTTGTCGGCCCCATCTACGTACCGAATCGCCTTTTCAGTATGCCCGGTTCATAATTCGTACTTTGATGAAAGAAGCTGGCCGGTGAAGTAACCTATTTTGGAGAAACGAGAGAGCCTATTTAGAGCCTAGAGCTCATGCAGACCTGACGCTGATGCGATGTGTTAAGATCTTGAGCAGCAAAGATATCCTCCATCATCAGTCCCCATGGCCGGCAGCTGGCTTCACAGCTCCACTGCCAGAACCTGACCACTGTATGTCACACCGTCTACTGTATTTCCACCAGTGGTCACGAACAACGTCTTGTTATCCTCGGAAACGGCAACAGAGGTCGGACGATGAATGAAGGTGGTATCGCCACCGCCAGCGACCGTGACATACGTTCCGTTCACGAAAACCTGGCCCAGTGCGTTCTGGGTCTGGGCGGCAAAGATGTTGCCCGACGCATCAATAACAAAGTCATCCCAAGCATAGCCCCCGGACGCAACCGCCAATATCTCAACATCGCCAGCTTTGTAGCCATCTTCAGTGATAGGAACGCGGCCAAAACTGGTTCGTGCGGTGTTCGTGAAGTAAGCATACCCATCTGCAATCTTGATCCCGTTGATACCAATGGGAATGGTGGCATTTGCGGGGGCAGCAAAGAGGTCGTCGGTAATTGCCATCTCAGTCGCTCCAGTCTGGGTATCGATGCGGAAGATGCTGCCAAGGCGCGAGTCGGTAGCCAAGACAACATAAGGCTTAGACGGCAGAGAGGCGAGCCCGTTGAGCATGACGGCATTGGGAAGTCTGGCGACGACGTTGACAGTGGGCTTGGAGCTCTCTCCGTCGCTGAAGTCAACTATATAGACGCTTTCGTTGGTGTAGGAGTAGTTGTTGCCGCGAACGCCGCCCAAGATAGCGAACTTGTCTGCGCTGGTTGCTGCGATGCCACCGATAGCCGTGGCTCCCGGGAGCTTGGTAACGAGCTCGGCTCCGGATCCATTTGTCAGAGTGTCCAAGGTGTAGAGGCTGCCGTCGTCGAAGGTGGTGAGAAGAAGCTGGCCGTTAGACCGGAGAGCGCTGTTTTCGATAGTCACAGCATACTCGGTGAAGTTCCATAATTGCGACACCACCGAGGCGGCAGATGCAGAGCTAACTGCGGCTACAACTCCCAGAAAGGCGGAAGGTAACATGATGGCGGTGGCTTTCTTAGATGAGTCTGCAAGCGAAGGTCAATCGTTCGAATTGCGACTGCACTTATGCTTTAATACCTTATGGACTGATGGTGAGTGAATCCTCGGGTCTCGCTGGACGGGTTGCGTGATTGCCGACGTCGTTGGTCACTTTGTGATGAGTTCATGTCGAAATCATCTCGGAGTTACCTTTGTCTAGCGATTCCCCGGGCACCCCTGATGCCTGCTCCCAGGCTGTATCGCTGTGCAGATGGGCACTAAATGACGGCAGATACTAGCCAGAGAAGCCTAAAGGCAGGGACAGATCTGGACGGCAACCTAGGAAGCAGGTACAATGCAAGGATTCTCAGCAAGAGAGCCACTTTCAACGCGGCCCGTGTTCAGATCATCAACGGGGTTAAGCGTCTTGCGGCTCGGATGTTTGCTCGCATCACCCCCACAAAGCCTAATGTTCGCCATCTTTGGACGAACAACTGATATGGAGGGATCCCTGCCCCTCTTGCAGTGTGACGGTACTACTGCAAGGGGTTTCCACCTCCTTATTTCGACTCTGCTCCCGCAGGTCGCGGAGGAGGACGCGTTCGATCCATATTGACCATTCCTCATAAATACCAGAAATAAGAACGATCAGATTGACTTACGACTCTTGCAGCCACAGCCAGCCGACTGCTCGGTCTGATGATTTAGCGTATCACGCGGTTCTCAACGACCGTCAATATTTTAAATAGACGTTTGCCACGCTATAGGAGACATTGGGCAGCTTCTTGGCGGCTTTTTGTCGATGGAAGCCCTTGAACGAGACGTTGAAATGCCAATGGTATCAGATGGCCAAAGTCTTCCAGATGGCTGGGAGAAAGGAAATCAAGAGCGTCGCGCAAAAGTACCCGCCGTGAGAAAGTCTGGAGATCCAAGCGACTGTTAGCAAGTGATGGAAAATAATGACTAGTCAACTTCGCCGGCGCAACCGCGACGAACTGGAAGTCTAACTGAGCAACCTTGTTTGCTCTTTGTTGTCAGCTCCTTCCGCATCTCCTGCTGAACGCGACTTCGCTGCCTGGAAAACTCACCTCGCCACGAGAGAAACAAGACCGGCAGCCTGCGCACACATCCGATCAAGCGCATCTGAGGCAACCTCGAAGCGAGCCAGAACCCTTCCTCAACATCACTTTCGGTCTCTCGCGACGAGCGACAATCTGAAGATTTCCGATCATTCGGCACCGAAAATCAACCACTACCAACCTGATTTCTTCCTGGTAACTCTTTTGCCCATCTCTTACGTCATTTCAAGATAGCCATCTCACTGACTGACAAGTCCGAACTGCAGTCACTCCAGAAAACGCACCTTCCCCAAACGCCAGTCGTATCTTGTTGTGAAAAGTCTTCGACTAGCCATTGCAGGTCGTTCAATACGTGCCGCAAGGATGACAAAGGAGGCACAGGAACTCCACCGGCGAGAAATCCAACGCTGGCGCGACGAACTGCAGTCTCTCCTCGGCAGCAGCACAACGCCGGATGGCAAGGACATCGAAAACCTGCAGCGTGAAGTTTGCCACACCCTGGTCAGAATAATCAAGAATGCGCATGACAAACCCCCGGAATCGGTGTGGGATGTTGGAGGACCTCTCCATGCCATCCACTATCGTCGGCCTGTCATCAGATCTATCTGGGAGACCTTAGCGCGAAAGCAGACAGCCGTCGCTCTTACGCCCGCGACCTCCATGCGCGATATTGTACCGAGAGACGTTCAAGGTACCCAGTTAGCTAAAGCTGCAAGGTACAGTCGGCGAAATCAGTCCGTCGCAGGCGACACGGGTTCTCAGTCTTCCATGCCGTCCCCATCATCAATCACTGAGTCGTCAATCGCTCCTCCTGGCTCACATCAAGAGCAGGCCAATAACCAGCAACCCTCCAAGTCCGACACTGAGAACATCATGACTCAATGCACAGTCGACAGCCCTTCAGACCAAGCGCAAACATCTCAGTGTAGCCGCAGCGTGGTCTTTACATATATTAACGACACTGGACTGCTCAAAACTGGAAAGAGCCTTCATGGCAACCTCATCTCAAGCATCATCCGACACGCTGCGCATCTCAACCCTTTCTAGTATTAGAATGGGGTTTAGTGGGCCCTCTGGATTTTTCAGCGTTTTTAGCGTTTAGAGGTCAGATTACTAAGCCCCCTTAAAAATAAGAAGTTAGCGTAGATATTATTATTAGACCTTAGAAATTAAGAGTATAATTTACTTATTTCTTAGTAGATTTTTAAGCTTTTTATTTTATTCTTTTTATTTTAGATCTAGAAAGAATATAAGGAGTCTTTTCTCTTTTGTTTTAAGGACTATAAGCTTTAAAACTATAAAGTTAAATAGTTATAGTAGCTTTATGTTACGACCCGTTATGCAGGATAACAGTTAACCGACCCACTTGGGCATCGAGCGGCTAGGACAGGACATTTGTATTGCAGGATCACGGGAACAACAGGGACTCGCTCGGAAACGGAAGAACTATGGTGCAAGTCACGT